GAGGCCGAGTCAAGAGGTGAGGCCGAGTCAAGAGGTGAGGCCGAGTCGAGAGGTGAAGCCGAGCCAAGATGTGAGGCTGAACCAAAACATGAACCAGATTTTCAGAATGAACCGAACGTCGACCCCGAAGTAAATGTTGACAGTCTCAATGTCTCGAGCCTGAGTGCGATTTCCATCAGTTCCGGATCCGTAGGTGAGCCAGATCCAATGTTTGATTTGGATGGTTTGAAAGTTGAACAAAACGTCTTAGGCGACCAAAGTTTTGCTGTCCAGAATCAGCAGATGAACGATTCCAGTGTTAGAAAATCCATCAAATGTTCCCACTGTGATATGACATTTCAAGCAAATCACAAGAAATTAGAACATGAATGTCTTGTCCATAAGCCACGAGTGGTACTTGGGCGTATAAAACATGATGTCAAAATGAACCGTGTACCTGTGAATTTACCGAAAACAGCCAGCCGTGCCCGTCCAGTACGTCGCATAAAAAAACGAAAATGAACATATTTTCAGCAGAAATTTTACAAATTCATGCACTGAAGGGCTTTCAGTGAAGGCAATACTCATGAAAGAAAATGTCCAATTTTAGAAACATTTTTTTTTTAATTTATTAAAAGTGCAAGAAATGTTATTGATTAATTAATTCAACAAATGCCGAAATTTCAAGTCAAATAATGTGAAGAGATTGTAACGTTGAAATTGTTTGTACAGTAGAGCAAAAAAAAACATTCATGCAAACCATTCTAATAGGAAGTAAGTGTCAAGAGACAAAGTATATATTTTTCCCGTCGTTTAATAAATATTCTAGCAAAATAGTCCAAATAAATGAGAAAGAAAGAAATCACATTGAAATACATATACGTGTTGTTTTTTTTTCAAATCAACGCTAATATTTCAAACAGAAAAATTCAATTCTTCAACAGTATTTGCCATTCGTTTCACATTCAATTGAACGTTTTCTCCAGTTTCATTGCGTTTCAGTTTAATTTCCAAACAATTCCAGTCATTCCAGCCGGAGCGCAGATGGCGTGAGCAACAGTTGTTTGTAGCTGTCACTTGCAGTGTTATGACATTTATGGGTGGGCTTTTAGACATAGCCGATTTGTTCATCGAACATTCGCCGAAATTTATCGTGTTCTTATTAAATTTTTGATTTTTATGTAAAAGAATATTTGCTATTTAACAGATCCAAACGGTGAAAAGGTAAATTTAGCGGCAGCAAACAGTTCAGTTTCGTTGGAATTCAGTGTTGAGTTTCCTTTTTTGAGTGAATTTGACACTCATTCTGATGAAAAGTAATTTTGCTTCACCGTGTTGGTCTGTCTATTATTTTGTTGCAATTTTTCCATCATTTTTCACCGACAATTGAACCGAAAACCCTTTAAATTTTAGGTCGCTATTTCAAACGGGTGAAAATACTTGGATGAACACATGGCGGCGGCATCAAACCAAATGTTCACAAGTACACCAATCACGAGTAATAATGTATTGGAAATTGTACCACAATTTCCAAGTTCTCCAATCACAAAGACCGATGGCAATGTAGCGGAAATGGTACGACGACGGCTGAGACTGTCGACGGATGCTCGTGAAAAGTTCTTCGAATGTGGCTATTGTGCACAGACATTCAAACTGGAATGCAATTTAAAATATCATGAGATGGTGCATCAATTGAATCATCATGAGCGAAAAGACAGAGACCAACCGTTTGTATTAAATCATTTTATTTCGTTTGTTTAGCATTTTAAGATTGCCGTATGTTTTGCAGGTTCGTATGTGTTGTGTGTGGGATGCGATTTGGGGAAAAATCCGAAATGGACAAACACCGAGAAGTTCACGTGGAGAAGATTGTGCAAAAGTGTAGCTATTGCAATAAGAAATATGGCCACGAAGAGCATTTACAACGGCATGAACGTATTCATGAATGGATTGACTCGCTCAAGGAACATTTACCATTTGAATGCAACGATTCAGAATTGATATTCCAGAGTGAAGCTATGCCTGAGCCACCATTGACCGATACGCCAATGCAAAGTAAAGAGCCACACATCAGTTTGCAACGTTTTAAAGATGAACCGAATGTTGGTCCGGAAAATGATGCAGTCGAATCGAAAAGAGACGACGACAAATCCAATAGCTCGGAAATCATCACAATTTCAATCAGTTCAGATACTGACAGCAACATTGACGATGGACCAAGTCCAGAAATAACAATGGCTGGACCCGAAAGACGTTCTACAGCCGAAAATCAAGTGGCTGACTGCCCACGGGTTCAACGAGCGGACATTTGTGACAAAGAGGTGTTCAAGTGTGCCTATTGCGATTTGACATTTGAACAAATTGATGAGAAACTGAAGCACGAATGCCATTTTCACAAGCCAACAGTTATACTCAACAAGGTCATGGTTAAAACCACTGTCGTTTCAATAAACGTAGACGTGCCGACAGGAATCACTGCACCAAAAGCGGATAACAACCGGAAGGTGTGTGCTACCACGCAAAAACCAATCCAAAAAACGAAACAGGACAACAGAATTGAAGAATCGGAAACTCACAAGATCGATTTGATAGCGCACAACATTGATGAGGACGGTCAAACGAAAAATAGTCAGAAATCGAATGAAACCGAAGAGACGAGCAATAAAATAAGTCAAAATGCAAGGAATAGAAAACAACGCCTGAATAGGAAAGACTGTTGGCCATTTACAAATTTTCAGCCAAAATTCAGCTGTTCTGAATGCAGACAACGTTTTACTACCGAGGAAAGTCGTGATATTCACCGAAAGACGCATTCCACTGAAGAACATGTTGAACCAATCCAAATTGAAACCAGTCCAAATGTGGTTGGACAAAGCAATCAGGTGGAAAATGAATTGAGCGTTGTAAACGAGGTCATTGATTTGACTGAGCCTGAAATTGCCGAACACAACAACGATGCCACAGTGCAAAAGACTCAACCGATACCCATTGAGACGAATTTCAAGTGTAGCCATTGCGATTGGACATTCGCACAAAATGACGATAAATTGAAACATGAATGCCTCGCTCATTCGTCGAGAGTTGTGCTTCAGAAAATCGAAAATGATGCCACATCGAACGGTATAGTAACAATGCTCACAGAAAAACCGCTAGAAACCAAAAACGATAGTATTGTACCAAAGAAAAATGTCCAAAGCAACGAGATGGAAATCAATGATTTAATCGAATTGGACATCGATGCTCAACCTAATAACAATAAGCGGAAACGATCAAAAGACGACAATGATCAAATTGACACTGATAATACAGGGAAAAGAGCTCGTTTGGCGCCCAATCCAGCGGCAATAAATCAACAGTTCAACGTCAATTCGTCGATCGTAAACGATCTACACTTAGAATTCAACGATGAATCCAGTTCAAAACGAATTGCGGGACGAAAGTCAAAAGAAAATGTGCAACAACAACAAAAACAGGCCATTGATTCACATGCACCCGGATTTTGGAGGAAACATTTCCTTGGAATTGACCAGAAACAACTCTTGATCGCCACAAGGCCTGCTCCAAGATAAATGTCCACCGGATTGACAATAACCGAGTCAAGTCGATATAAACATACGGGAAAATGACTGACTTTACTGCTAAACCAAATTTTAGATTTAAAAAAAAAAGCCAAAATTTCATTCAATGTTAAGCATTTTGAAATGTATTTTGGACAAATGTTCTGAGTCTCAACAGCTTCTCCGGTGAAAATGTTTGAAATTACATAGCGATTGTTTCGCCCAAATTGCCAATTATCTAATATGTGTAATAGGAAAATAACATGTCTTTCGAAAAGAATCTCTCACAAATGATATTTCTGTAGCAAATCGATGGAGTGAACATGAGAGTGTATTGTTTTTATTCTTAACTGAACAACATAAATCAAATTTCAAATGTATCACAACGATAATTAAATCAATTGGAATAATAAATCAAATTTTTATGAATTGTATTTAAAATCAAACAGAGAAGTGTGTGTTTTATTTTTTTTTTTGAGAAATCTACACTGTATTAAGCGGGTGTTGAGTATGCACTTAATCTCTTGAATTCTTGGGCACAATTGTGAGCAAACAAAGTGTGATCAACACATTTTTCATATGGTAAGAAGTTTTGCATTGTTCTGCAAGAAAAGTTAGCTTCTGTGTCAATGTCATCAACTAAATCCTTCACTATAGGTAGAAAAATACGTTGAACTTTTGGTTTAAATTCACTCCCGATGTAGTTCTTGTCTATTGAATATGGAAATTATCCATGTTTTCATTTGGTGAATGTCAAGTTCATCGTAATCGAATGATGAAATAATTTGTGCTGACCTCAAAAACTAGTTATTATTATTGTGAAGTATATTATTTTATCAAGTTGACCGTGACTTCAATGAAAATACTTTTGTAAGCTAATCAAATTGCGATATAATTTCTCATCAGAAAATATGAGCTTCGAAAAAACGACATTAAGCATTCAAACCACTAATAACGTTTGTCGACGTGATTTTGATTCAATGAATATTAACCACTTTGTGGCGCAGGAATTTATTTGCTTATGATATAGGCCCAATGAATTGCATTTTCACTGTTATGATAGTGGTGATATGTTACCCACTACAGTGGATCTCTTAAAAATGCATTATTTTCATTTCATTCAATTTTCTAGTGCTTTCGCATTAGCGTCGGTGAATTGGCTTTATAAATTTGTCGATTGCAACGTAATGAAGGTCACACATCTAATGGGGAGGGAAAACATATGTTTTCGAATGAACATTTACGGTCTAATACAAATCAATTTGAAAATGGGGAATAATTATGAAAAAGTTTTTCTTTCGTTACTAAGCCACTCGAATGTATCTGTATACAATCAGTTTGAGCTAGCCAAGCCACAACGATGAAATTCTATCTATTCACGAAACAAATTATTGACTAAATTCAATTAAACTACGTCGACACTGGTCATTACCATTTGTATCGACAATTAATAATGAACTCGTTCAGAAAATTGGGAACTCATCTCAGCCTTTGGCTCAACATTCACCGAATCTGTAAAAAACCAAGGTTTTTGTATTTCATGTTTAAGAAAATCGTCACTTTTATTGAGCAATAAATTTTATTTGAACTTTTTTGAAACTTTACGCTTTTGTCCAATGTTTTTTTTCTATCCCTGCTTGCCTTCTTTGACGTAAATATTTGAATCGGTGTCCGATGGTAAGTGGATACCAACAATGGGCATGTTTTCGCCAGTTTGAGCATAAAACTCATCGCGATACTTCACAGCGTGTTCGTAACCATTCGCGGTGTTGATGAAATAGAAAAATGCCTCAATCGGTATTGTTTTCGCGTTGTTTTCATCCCAGCCCTCGACTCGAAATTCACTACTGACGTACGCGTATCGTGTACCATGCTGTACATCCTGTACATTCTGTAGGTAAGAGTTTGCTTGCAGAGTTAACGCAAAATTGTCCACTGCCGTTGTCTTTTTCGATGCATCAAAACCACAGTGGGACATAATAAACTCTACCATATTCCCCGTATTAAGAAATTTGAAATATTCGACCCATTTCGGGAAAGATGTAATATTCTGTGCATCACATTGTTGACTCAATCCGGTTGTATCGTTACTCCGTTTACCACAACCACGATCGTTACGGTAATCGGTAGCTCCATCGATTGGGTATGTACACAATACTTTTTGTGTTGTCTTGTGACTTGGCGTTTTCAAATGCGGATAAATGATGAATCCAGCATCATAACCACTTCCCACCCATGAAAATGGATGATCACGTCGTAGGAAACCGAATGCAAATGAATTTATTTTCTTGTCAGACGGTTTTAAGCTCCATGCGAATCGCTGTCCTTTATTCAAATGAATTCCACGGAAAATAATGCCCGAACATTTGTATGCTGGCTGCTTCACATTTTGAGCATCGAAACATTCGTTGGTCACATAGCTGAGACGTTGTGTCAATTCATCGACAATATTTGCAGCGCATTTTGTTGCCAAAAAATTGATCAAAATCAAAACACTTAACTTACTGAGCGGCATTGTGCAAAGGCAGTTGGTTGTTTTATGTTTTAAATGAATTAGTGCTACGTAGTTTCCTCAAACGTTTACATTCAATCACAATTGATTACACTATGACAACGATCAGAAGCGGCTGTGAGCTTTTATTCCGCGTTCGACAATTCCATTTTTCAATAAGTGTTTGCTGATAAAAACGAATGTTTTAGCCAATTGTCACCAATTATCTTGACAAGACATTTCTTACACGCATATGCGCAAATAGTTTACACAATATGAACACGTGCATCCGTGGGCTTACCACGGCTGCGTAACAATTTCGAGTCAGGTTCAACGCCCGTTTCGTTTTTCTCATCCATTATTGGGCACGTCATATGAGGCTGTGAGAATGAAAATGGCAATACAGGAATAAACATTCTGAAGCGCATCAAGAAAAAAAAATTCGCAAAAGTGAATCATGAGTTCTGAATACGCAAAAGTGAACCATGAACCTCCTATGCTGCCCATGTAAATTCATGTTTCACTTTTGCATATTCAGAACTCATGATTCATTTTTGCGAATTTTTTTTCTTGATGCGCTTCAGAATGTTTATTCCTGTATTGCCATTTTCATTCTCACAGCCTCATATGTAAACAGTTAAATCAAGTTAAGCTCAAAATTGTTTTTTACACTTCACTTCAAATATCCATTGTATTCATTTGTACTCTTATCGCCCGTAAAGCTCCCGCTCATGTGCTCATTGTTGTTCTCATTATTAAAAGTGGACAAAACTGATTGCAAGTACGTCGTCACTGGTCGTCAATTAATTATGAACTTCATCGGCAATCAGTGATAAAAAAAATCATCGCGAAACTTCGAATCGTTTTCGTATCCATTCGAAGTGTTGATGAAATAAAAAAATGCCTCAATTGGTATAGTTTTCGCGTTGTTTTTATCGCAGCCTTAGACAAGACGGTCACTACTGACGAACGCGTATATTGTACCATTCTGTAAGCATTTGCTTGAAGAACTAACGAAAATTCGTCCACTACTGTTGTCTCTGATGTATCAAAACCGTATTGGGAAATAATAAACACTAATCAATCACTTTTACCCACATTTGAAAATTTACCGATTTTGCCTTGTAGGCCATTAAAATTTCATTCCATGCACGCGTGCAAGCTTGCCCCCAATTTTGTGTTGAAAAAAACAACAACACAAAAACGAATTCAATTGATTTCAAACACTCAATTGCTTGACTGACTATTACACAATATGCCGGTCAGATGAAATGAGTAACAAATCAACACATAATCATCTACGCAAACGGAAATATTTATTTAATTATAATTTGACCAGTCTACCGAAAACAATTTTTTATGAATATTTCACTATTTTTGTGAGATTTTATAAATTTCACCACATTTAAATCGATTTCCGAATAAAACGAATTACATACGTAATCCAAACTTTTCAGCTCCGTGGCAATTTGGTTTACCTCCCGCTTAGTATTTAACCAAAATTTCAATAAAAACTCTTTTCATAGCACTTCTGAGCTGGAAAAATAACTATTTTGACCATTTTCCATATAAAAATGTCATTTTCGAACAGAATTTCAAAAATTTCAAGAAATGTCGGTTTCGGACCAAATTTATGGGCAAGTAGGTGTTCGGTTGTTCACAGACTCCCATTATTTTTGCAAAAAAATGGCAGTTTGCCTTGATCGAAACCCTGGAAAATGCTTTTTTCGGGTACTTCCCGTACAAAAGTGTCATTTTTCAAGGGTTTTCAGGTCCTCAGTCGGAGGCTTATGGTACGAAATTGGTAAATCAGAATGGGCTCAAAATCAATCCGAAGCTTTGTCTCGACATGCCAAAACTTTTGGCTTTTACAGATCGCAATTATCTTGTCAACTTTTTGAGATAATCGGCGAACAAGTTTTTATAGAACGCGGACGCGGACGACGCCATACGCACATCGCAATTTTGCACATTTTTCATAGTAAACAACATGTTTTTGGAGGCAGATGGGTCTTGATCGATAGGATTTGTTCCCATCTACATTGCCTAGTGTACAGATATGTGCTTTTTGAAGTTTGGCGTGACGTTAGAGTGGTCCGAAAGAGGAGATGTCATGAAATTTTGGCTAGTAAAACCAATACTTTTCCATACAAACAAAGTTTGCGGAAAAGTAAAATTTCTCTTCTTCTTTTCATCCATGGATGAATAAAATATGTTCAAATGTCTATTTCATTAATGAAAACGTGTGAGTGGACCTTACAATAAATAAAACGAATTACATACGTAATCCAAACTTTTCCGCTCCGCAGCAATTTAGTTTACCTCCCGCTTAATGTTTAACCAAAATTTCAATGGACCCTTTTTTCATAGCATTTTTGACCTTAAAATATAACTATTTCGACCATTTTCCATACAAAAGTGTCATTTTCGAACAAAATTTCAAAAAATTCCAAGAAATGTCGATTTTGGACCAAATTTATGGGCAAGTAGGTGTTCGGTTGTGATTCTGTTAACATTAACATTAACAATGAGTCATTGTCAATGAATAAATAATAATGAGCATTCAATTGTTGTACTAATTTTCTGGGTCAAAATAAATTGAACCTAAAATAAACTTTCAGAACCAATCGCCTTATGTCTTTTTTACTTTGACAATATTTTTATCCCATAAATCATTTTATTAACATCTTAGGATCTATAGGGTAAGGTGGGGCTAAGCGGCGCGTGGGGCTAAACGGCGCACCGGCCTTTTCTCGAAACTGGTAATTCCTAGCTATGGCAACCCATATGTCATTTGAAAGAGCATTAAGAACTCCATATTTGGTTGGTATACTCGACATTTTTCATTCGAGTACAGACAATCTACAGGCATACACGTGTTTTGTGCTAGTTTTTGAAAACATTTTTGTGTCTACGGAATTTAAGTTTTGACCATTATAATTTAATATTTTTTGAAAACTGGTGAGTGTATTTTGCAGCTCAAGACGAGCTCTTTCAAATGGAAATAAGTTTATTTTGAATATTTTTAATAGTTGTGGTTGAATCGAGCTCCGGAGTGAAAGATAGGTGGTGGGGCGAAGCGGCGCACAAACATATGGGGCGAAGCGGCGCACCTCATGTATTGCTATTTATCGCTTATTCGTGTGTGAAAGGGGTGGTTGACTGAGTATTTTTGTAGCACCATCAATTACCTTTCCAAAGGTACCACGGGTTTGACAATGCGTGGACTACTTCTTAGAAAGATTAAAATCGGCGCAAAGTCATTTTTTCGAATTTTGCCTGTCGACCGATGAAAAGGTAGTGTCACTTTAGGCGTAATAACTTCGCTTCTAGCGGTCCAAATTTCATGAAATTTTGACACAATATCGAAGGATGTACTAATCTAACGCTAACACTATTTCGGATGATAAACACATTTAAAACACTGAAAATACAAGTGCGCCGCTTCGCCCCATGGGGTGCGCCGCTTTACCCCACCATTTTTTGCATGGCCAAAAAAATGGATCTCCGCCCGAAGGGCAATATCGGAGCCAAAAAGAGTTCAAATCAAAAAGTGTTCTTCTACAAAAGTTAGGTATTAAATCGAACTAGAATATGAAACCAATATTTCATGATTTTTTTCAATTTTTTATGGAGTTATTAATTTAGGGAAAAAAGTGCGCCGCTTAGCCCCACCTTACCCTACTTTGTGAGCAATGCATCAATTGTCAGTGAATGCACTTCAATCAACCTCTGATTGGCTGATGGACAGTTATAATAGAAATAGATCATCTATGGATGAAACCAAAACAATTTCAAAGTTCGCACAGGAAACTGTACACCAGGTAGATTGTTCGTACAATTTGCTGCATCGGATTTTCATTTTAAATCAAGAAAGAATTATTTTCCAATCAAAATAATTGAATTGCATTTCAAAACAACATAATTTTGAATTTGAGCACTCAAGTGTGAACTAGCCTCAATGGTAGACAGTTGACATTTAATGTCAAATTCAGACGGTATAACAATCTATCAAGTGTCATTCACCCACTTTCACTCTATTCCGTCGTACGTTTTCATATTCTTGTGAAACACACGGTCGAGACCGGAGGTTGGAACTAGATTATTCGGCTTCATTTCAATTGCAACGTAGAATTTGCATGCCTAAAAGTTCATTCAGTTTTTGTTCTAAAACTGTTGATTAAAGTAGTATATCGAATTTTAGATGATTTTTTGTTGCTATTTTACAGTGTTTTTGAGTGACTCAACTTCCATGAGATATTTGTTAGCGCATGAAAATAAAGTGAATAATTAATAAAATTTCAAAGCTAAAACTATGAATCGTAACGTCAGTTTTAAAACACAGTGTTTGAAGCAATCATCATCTGTCGATGATAGCCCCGGTTCCAACTTACCTTGAAACAACAATTAATATTCAATACTCTTTATCTGTTGCAGAGGCATTCTGTAGTCTCGCCATGGCGAGTATCATCATTTAGGCACTTTGTGCCCACATGCACTTGAACTTGTTATTGGAGTTGACTCATTTCGCACTTAACAAACACACTAGATTAGATTGTAACCCAGAAATTGATTGTCAAGTTGAAACAATCTGATTGCCTTGGTTTATCAATGTGTTTCATTTTGCAAAATGGTTCTGAATGATAAAAGCCATCGAAAAATTTCTGTAGAATTAGATTTTATTCAAAATTTTACGTTTTTTCTTCACAGAAATATTGATTATCACCACCGTCCATACATCCTTCTAAGTGAAGAAAAAGACAACCGAAGCACACAAAATTAGGTCACACCAACGACGAGTCGTAGAAGAGCAAACAGGCAAATTTACGGGTCCATTTTTACAGCACTAGGCTACACACACTCATTTAGTCAAAGGTACGGCTCACAATTTTCCTCAAAAAAATCCAATTTCAAAACAACAATTTTTTCATTGTAGCTGTGCCTTCATAAAACCTTCAGGTGAAATCATCAAGATGAGTCATCAAAGCGTCGACAAACAATCCAACACAGACACTGATAAGCCGCAATCAAGTGGTGCAAAGAATCCAAATGAACTATCCGCTGCTATAGGTGCTCTTACCTTAAAAACCGAAGCTCTACCGCCAATTTTCAAGTTGTACCTGTACAAAGATTGTTGGGAAGAAATATTCGATTGGCTATCGATCGATGATATCCATTCATTTGGTCAAACTTGCACGACGCTTTATCAAGTAGCCGGAGAATATTTCCGATGGAAATACCGAAGAGTGCTTGGTCGTGTCTACAACGATTCAATGACTATTGACTGGAAAGATTTGAATGGGTTCAATGAATTCACTCGGCGATTGTCATTCTATGGCTGTGAGCCAGATTTATCGCTTAACTATGCCTTGGACAATTGTAAATCGGCCAAAGAGATGGAAATCGTCAATGCGAGTTCTAGTGAGCTTGATATCAAATCTTTCGAGAGCATGCTGAGCAAAATAGACATCATGGAAATCGGCAATTTCCGTCTCTCCGGTGAATTTCTTGAATCATTCTTGGAACCGTGTGTTACATTGAGACGTTTATCAATTACCGTAAGTCCGGGAAATGGTTGGTTGCGTCACAAATATCCAAAACTAGAGCATTTGGAACTGTTTGAGTGTGATCCATCGGAAGACAACGACCTGAAAATATTTTTTGAACAAAATCCAAATGTATGGAGTTTCTCGACTACGCCCGAACTTCTCCTAAGGAACCGAGACATGTTTATGGCCAGCAACATTGACATGGATGATCTGTCAATCTGGAGAGTTTATGATATTGATTTAATTGCCGTTGCTCTCATCGAACTTTATCAACGCGGTTTTTACAAACGACTTCACATTCAAATCACTTCAGCCGAACATCTGGCTCAATTACCGGGACTTGATACATTGAATGTCAATACTTACGACTACATTAAAATGCCTTCTCTGCCAACAGTAAAAAAACTAAGTTTCCAAGCTCTTTGGAATGGATTGAATTCTTCGATGGACATAGACGAGGTATCATTAGCATTAAACAACCTTGAAAGTGTTTCTATGGAAGAAACAAGCGCCGAATATATGTTGCCATTCATTCAAAAATCGGCGAAACTAAAAGAAATAAAAATGGAATATTTACGAGACGATGTCGATCTGTTGGCCATGAATAGCGACCGCAAGAAACTGGAAGGGGCACGCAAAGTAACCATTTACTTTGAAGAAAGAGATTACTTGAAACTTAAATGGAAGTACGGCAAAACCGACTTCGGTTTAATCGAAATTAAACGCAAAGAGTCTTACGACGGCGATCCATGTTTTGAATATTTTTAGGAAGATTGAAGGAAAAATAGTTCAAGGAGAATGTTTTGAAAACTTTATTTTTGGAAAAATATTTTCTATCCATTTTGTCACAATTGTTATACTAATCTGCTAGGTCAAAATAAATTGAACCTGTAATAAATTTTCAGAACCAAACGCCTCATGTCTTTTTTTTTACTTTGACAATATTTTTATCTCATAAATCATTTTATCAACATCTTGAGATTATGTCTTGGGTAAAAAAAAATTCATCGCCATGCTTCACTTGTTCACTTTGTGAACAGAGTATCAATTGTGAATCGCATATGGTCAAAAACGCGGAAGGTGTAACGTTACCGACATACAAATGTGCTCATAACATGGCCATTATAAGAGATATTTCAAAAGAGTGAAGACAAAAAATGTAGGTCGAGTAAGGGGCGACAATAATCGAATCATAAAATGGAACCTTTTTTTGGTTTTTGTAGAGATATAATCGTGTGTAAAAAACCTTGAAAATTCGCAAATTTTCATACATTTTTTTAACACCTTCTTATTCTTTTGCACATATTTAGCATAACAAGTACACAGACTGTAGAGTTCCTTGTATTAAATGAATTTTATGAAAATTAGCTACATTTTATGCCTTTACTCTTTCTTGTTATCTATTGTGATAGCGGAGTAACGTTACCGTGTTCCGCGTTTTTGACCATATACTCGCACACATATATTTTTGGACCGATTTTTTTACAAAAAAAATTATTTGCTGCACCGGACTTGAATTTTAAATCAAGAAAGAAACATATATACATCCGACATGAATTTAGTGTCAACTTGGTGTACCAATCAAAATAATTGAATTGTAGTTTAAAATAACATTATTTTGAATTTAGTCACTCAAGTGTGAACTAGCCTCAAGGTAGACAGTTGACATTTAATGTCAAATTCAGACGGTATAACAATCTATCAACTGTCATCTAACTGCTTTCACTCTATTTTGTCGTATGTTTTCATATTCTTGTGAAATACACGGTCGAGAATGGAGGTAAGAACTAAATTATTCGGCTTTATTTCAATTGCAACGTAGAATTTGCATGCCTAAAAGTTCATTCATTTTTTGTTTTAAGACTGTTGATTACAGTAGTATATCGAATTTTAGATGATTTTTTGTTGCTATTTTACAGTGTTTTTGAGTGACTCAACTTCCATGAGATATTTGTTAGCGCATGAAGATAAAGTGAATAATTAATAAAATTTCAAAGCTAAAACTATGAATCGTAACGTCAGTTTTAAAACACAGTGTTTGAAGCAATCATCATCTGTCGATGATAGCCCCTGTTCCAATTTACCTTGAAACAGCAAATAATGCTCAATACTCTTTATCTGTTGCAGAGGCATTTTGTAGTCTCGCCATGGCGAGTATCATCATTTAGGCACTTTGTGCCCACATGCACTTGAACTTGTTATTGGAGTTGACTCATTTCGCACTTAACAAACACACTAGATTAGATTGTAACCCAGTAATTGATAGTCAAGCTGAAATAATCTGATTACCTTGGTTTATCAATGTGTTTCATTTTGCAAAATGGTTCTGAATGATCAATGCCATCGAAAAATTTCGGTAAAATTAGATTTTATTCAAAATTTTACGTTTTTTCTTCACAGAAATATTGATTATCACCACCGTCCATACATCCTTCTAAGTGAAGAAAAAGACAACCGAAGCGCACAAAATTAAGTCACACCAACGACGAGTCGTAGAAGAGCAAACAGGCAAATTTACGGGTCCATTTTTACAGCACTAGGCTACACACACTCATTTAGTCAAAGGTACGGCTCACAATTTTCCTCAAAAAAATCCAATTTCAAAACAACAATTTTTTCATTGTAGCTGTGCCTTCATAAAACCTTCAGGTGAAATCATCAAGATGAGTCATCAAAGCGTCGACAAACAATCCAACACAGACACTGATAAGCCGCAATCAAGTGGTGCAAAGAATCCAAATGAACTATCCGCTGCTATAGGTGCTCTTACCTTAAAAACCGAAGCTCTACCGCCAATTTTCAAGTTGTACTTGTACAAAGATTGTTGGGAGGAAATATTCGATTGGCTATCGATCGATGATATCCATTCATTTGGTCAAACTTGCACGGCGCTTTATCAAGTAGCCGGAGAATATTTCCGATGGAAATACCGAAGAGTGCTTGGCCATGTCTACAACGATTCAATGACTATTGACTGGAAAGATTTGAATGGGTTCAATGAATTCACTCGGCGATTGTCATTCTATGGCTGTGAGCCAGATATATCGATTAACTATGCCTTGGACAATTGTAAATCGGCTAGAGAGATGGAAATCGTCAATGCGCGTTCTAGTGAGCTTGATATTAAATCTTTCGAGAGCATGCTGAGCAAAATAGACATCATGGAAATTAGAAATTTCCGACTCTCCGGGGAATTTCTTGAATCATTCTTGGAACCGTGTGCTACATTGAGACGTTTATCAATTGATAAAAGTCCAGGAAAATGTTGGTTGCGTCACAAATATCCAAAACTAGAGCATTTGCAACTGTTTGAGTGTGATCCATCGGAAGACAATGACCTGAAAATATTTTTTGAACAAAATCCAAATGTATGGAGTCTCACGACTACGGCCAAACTTCTCCTAAGGAACCGAGACATGTTTATGGCCAGCAACATTGAAATGGATGACCTGTCAATCTGGAGAGTTTATAATATTGATTTAATTGCCTTTGCCCTCATCGAACTTTATCAACGCGGTTTTTACAAACGACTTCACATTCAAATCACTTCAGCCGAACATCTGGCTCAATTACCGGGACTTGTTACATTGAATGTCAATACTTACGACTACATTAAAATGTCTTCTCTGCCAACAGTAAAAAAACTAAGTTTCCAAGCTCTTTGGAATGGATTGTATTCTTCGATGGACATAGACGAGGTATCATTAGCATTAAACAACCTTGAAAGCGTTTCTATGGAAGAAACAAGCGCCGAATATATGTTGCCATTCATTCGAAAATCGGCGAAACTAAAAGAAATAAAAATGGAATATTTACGAGACGATGTCGATCTGTTGGCCATGAATAGCGACCGCAAGAAACTGGAAGGGGCACGCAAAGTAACCATTTACTTTGAAGAAAGAGATTACTTGGAACTTAAATGGAAGTACGGCAAAACCGACTTCGGTTTAATCGAAATTAAACGCAAAGAGTCTTACGACGGCGATCCATGTTTTGGATTTTTTTAGAAGAAACAGAGAAAAGTTGAAGAGGAATGTTTTAAAAAAATTGTTTTTAGAAAGATGTTTTTCTCATCATTTTTGTGATTCTGTTAACATGTACATTAACAATGAGTCATTGTCAATGAATGAATAATAATGAGCATTCAATTTTTGTACTAATTTTGTGGGTCAAAATAAATTGAACTTAAAATAAACTTTCAGAACCAATCGCCTTATGTCTTTTCTACTTTGACAATATTTTTATCTGAAAAATCATATTATTTACATTTTTAGGGTGCAGTCACACTAGGAAACATGGATTGGAAACATGTTTCCAGTTCCCCATAAGATCCTGTGTATTTTTGTTTCCACTAAAATGTTTCCTGTAAACAAAATTACATTGGACCTTATGGGATGTTTCCAATCCATGTTTCTTAGTGTGACTGCACCCTTAGGATTGGGTTTTGAGTAAAAAAATCTTCATCACCATGCTTCACTTGGGTGACCGGTCATATTTTCCCCGGTCATAACTTCTCATTCTCCATCTCTTCTTCAATGTGCCGATGTCCCAATGTTTTATGCATGTACCAATGGAGATGATAATTCCATTTCAAATTTGGACATAACTTCCCCATCTAAAAAATTTTGATTGGAGAAAATATGTCCAAAAATCAGAAGAAATTATATCCAAATGCATATGGACATAATTTCTCGGGGAAATTATGACCAAAGAGTCAGTGGAATTATATCCAATTGAAAATGGACATAATTTCCCCATAGATTTTTTGGATTTTGGGGAAATTTTGTCCGAAATTCGGTGGAATTATGACCGGGGAAGTTATGCCCTGTAGCCCTTCACTTGTTCACTTTGTGAACAAAATATCAATTGTACTCGCCCACGTAATTTTTGAACCGATTTTTTTTTACAAAAAATTATTTGCTGCACTGGATTTTTATTTTAAATCATCATAGAAACATATTCCAGTATGAATTTAGCGTCCTTCAACTTGGCGTACTGATCATGAATTGCACTTCAAAATAATTACTAAGCATTGTTTTTTTCTACACTGCATTAGTTCCGGTTGAATCATCGCTTGAAAACTGATTCAGTTTCAACTGAACATCGTCTGGCAACATCAAATCGAAGAGTGATTCAAATCGCACCCATTGCCGATTTAAGTGATTGAACTCTATGTATTTTTTTGATTAAAGAACTACAACAAACTGCAAATAATTTTCTGGATTGAAGTTTAGCACCTGAATTTGTTAAGTCTATTGTAGCACTTATTACTGATGCCATCAGAGAACATTCTCAATTCATTTTTAATCACCACAAATAAATGTTGACACTTTGTCTTTGAAACCCTAAACAATTTAATTTTATTCTAATGAATCAATCAAAATTGAATTTGTTAGCAAACTATAAAAATTAAAACGATAAACTGTATTCAAGTTTAACTCTTTTTTCATGCGACTTCGGAATTTTAAAACGATACAAATATTCCTTTTTTTCTTCGCTGCTACATCGTAATATATTCACAACCGATTTTTCTCATTCAAATTGATGAGTCGTCTGAACGAGACTTCAAATTCCAATTCATTTCCCCGGCTTCCAGTGCATTCCATTGGAATTGGTTGTCCGTTGCCAACTTCACACCGAACTGTCACTTGCACTGCTTATGTCAATAGAAAATAACATCATTTCTATTATTGTTGTGAAACTTATCTGCTTTGCTTCAATTCTTATCGAAAAAAATATTTACTTCAATGGTAAACAAATATTTTCCAATTAAATGAGTGACAATTTTCAATCTAATATCATTATTTCCATGCTAATTTCATTGCAGATCATTGAAAAGAGGAGCAAATTTTGCGTACAAAAATGAGTGAATTGGAGAAAGACAGTCAAAGTAGTCAAGCAGAATCAAAACAAAGTTCGTGTGCCATAAAAAATCACAGTCAAGATCTAAATTCGCAGTTATTGGCGAAAATTTTCAAACTAAACATCGATTGCTTCGACGAGCTCTTCGAATGGTTGTCACGAGATGATTTAGATACGTTGGGTCAGACGTGTAAACTGATGCAATCAATCGTCGGTGAATTTTTCCAGCAAAATTTCCCAGCAATTGAAGTTCGTGCCGAAGAAGATGGACTGTACGTGAATGATACACGCAACGTGAATTGCTATCGCGGCGCCCATAAAATCCACAGTTTCGATAAATTCATTCGAAAAGTGTCGATTTGCGAGAACTCCATTGGAATCGAAGACGGTGTACGATTGTTTTGTTACGTTGGATCGAATTGCACGAAATCCATCAAGCACATTCAATTCATCAATGTGTTGTTGACACAAATCGAACTTGAATGGGTGGACGAGATTTTAAAAACGGTCGAAACGGTTTCAATCGAAGATTGTTTAATCAAACGTCAATTCTACGAAAAATTCCCAGCACTTTGCCACAATCTGAAGAATCTCAATGTGCAAGACTGTCGATGGAATCGAAATGTATTGAAACGTACGGGAAATGAGTGGCTTCAGCGAAAATACCCAAAGTTGGAGCATTTGGAATGGACACAATCGTCGAAGAAAGGTCGTCGCATTGATGAATTCAAAACGTTTTTTGAGCTAAATCCACAAATTGTCAGCTTTTCAACGAGTTTTCATTGTTTTTGGGGTAATCGTGAGCTGATTGCTCAAGCTAATATCAAATTGGATGATTTGACTATTGAATTCGATGATTGGACATGGACACCAACGAATATCAATGCAACTTATAGCCTGCTGAATAGTCTTCACGAGCAAGGAATCTACAAACGACTCAATTTGTATGCCAGATACTACGATGCTGATTATTTCAGCAAAATGGCCTCAATACGCCCTTTGTATAGCTTACATCTGCACGAAATTAGTTCGAGATACAATTTGCCGCATCTGCCACAGTTGAGAGAATTGCGAATTCAGTACATCAACACAAATTTGGATAATTTGCCCAATCAATTGCCGAACCTTGAACGAATCTATTTCAAATTTGCCGAAACCAAACATTTTCTACCGTTCATTTACCGGTGCCCAAAATTGAAGGAAATGAAAATCGATGTGGTTCATGACAGAGCTAAGTTCAACTGCATTCTCGATCTGCCGGCCCTAAATAGGGATAGAAAGAAACTGGATGGAGCACGGAAAATCACCATTTTCATCGATGAACATGTATTTTTAGCAACCAAATGGGCAACTGAAAGAACTGAGTTTAGTTTGATTGAAATTCAACGAGGCTATACACGTGAATGGAATCGGAATATTGAATTTCATTGAGACAGAATTGAGCGCTATTTATTGAGAAAGAATTTTTTTTCAGATAATTCCTGTAGAGCAATGAGCATGAAGCTCATACCATGAACAATGTAATTTATTTGTTTGGAATTTATAGAGCGAAGCTAAAATCAAATGCACAATCTAAAATTTCATTGTTAATATAAACCACACTTTCAATGAGAACAGAATAAAATATTTTGCTCTCGATTTTTCTTGAATAAACTCGTGGATACTTAAACTTTTTGCATAAAAATGATTGAACCTTATTGATTGGTTTATTGTTTGGAAATTTTTCAGCATTTTTTTCATAGCTTCCATACAAAATTTGCACTATATTCGACTATAAACGTTGATCTAAAGTACTTTTCCGAAGACTTTTGGTGACTTTTGTCTTTCATTTCGCTCAAATATGTTATTCCATTGTCGGTTGAATCAAATGACCAAATGGACACACATCGAATCCAAATCGGTTTGTTTCAAATAAGCGATTGAATACAAATTGGAATCACATTGGTGATAGACTGATAGTCAACTTCATGCTAATGTCAAAGTCACTAATACCAAGCAGCAGTCGTTCTCGTTGCACATCTCGTTTGACAATTTGTGTTGATGCTTTGCTCACAGTGAATAATGCGAGATATAAGTAGACGGTCACCACAGTAGAAGAAACACGTGTCGATATATTTTCAATCGTTTAGTGCTGAAACAACCGAGAGAAAAGCAAGGCAAAGGGGTAAGTGTCAGAAAAATTCCCATCGTCATTCGTCATTCACTATAAATTGATTGCTTTGTTGACTCCTTCTATTGTAATTCAATGGAATCAAATGTATTTTTTGAATAGACCCTAAATCACATTCATCTGGCCCTAAATCTGGCCTATTTTCATTGTCGAATCAAAGTTTAGCCAATCAAGTGACTTTAGATCCATTCAACAATCAACACTTATTGTAATGTCATTAGAAAACTGTTTGCCGGAACATTTTTTTCATAATTCATTTTTAAAGTGTTCAATGCGGTAAAAATATCAAGAAAATCGACAGAATCGCTTCATTTGGAGCTTCTTCATTGTATTTTTCCATTGAAATATTCTCTTGCTTGTTATTTTCTGTTGAAATTGTCTGGAAACATCAAAAAAGTAATTTTGTGTGCTTTGGTTTCATTGACAATCTGTCCATACGCAATACACACATACAATAAGGTGTCGCTGTCAAGTCGATGGAAAATTTCACTGGATGATTTTCGCTTTGGTTTTTTAATAAACTGATTCACTAAATGAATTTGTGTAAATTGAACACGAGCTTATTTTAATGACAAATGAATTATTCATATTTTAATGGCCGCGATTGAGTTATGAGCCCAGAAATTTTCTATCGAATAAAAATGGTAATTAGTGATATCATTTTGGAACATTTCTTTACAGAATTTCATATCTGAGGTCACGATGAACCCGTATGCAATCAAAGGTACTTGCCATGTCAAGAGAAACACAGGCGTAAGTCATCAAGTACAGCAGCTGAAGTCAAGCAAGAATTGGTTGTTAAAGAAGAGCCATTGGACAATATGGGAATGGTTGAAACATCGAGGCCACCGACAACAGAACCAACGAAAGGTGCGATCAAATTGGAAGCAAATACCGACAGCGACATGTCTTTTGATTTTGATAGCGACTGTGTGAAAAAAGAGGTAAAGAGCGAGGACAAATGCTCCAAGAAGGGATGTGGCTCTGCACAAGATGCACGCTTGAATCATGACGGTACCTTGAACGATGGACCGATCGATGGAATCGTGAACAACTCACACTCTATACCAAGATTAAATAGCAAAGGTGAAAAGAAGAAACGTAAGGAGAAAGGAAAGGAAACCAATGCCAAGGCTTCAAAGAAAGCAGCCGTGAAGAAGCACTTTTGTCATTTGTGCAAATTTTTTACATCGAAAAAAGTTGATCTATCAAGACACATTCGAGTCCACACCGGCGAGAGGCCATTCATGTGTGAAGTGTGTGCGAAATCATTTGCAAGAAAGGATATCTTGCGTCGTCATAAAAAAAAACCATGGTCCTCGATTAACATTCCGTTGTTCAAAGTGTCGTGAAGGATTTGCCCAAGAAATTGATAAGACTGACCACGAATCCAAGTGTCAATGGCGCCACTACGAGTGCTATGCGTGCAAATATATCACATATTATTTGTCAATTATGAAGCGTCACATGCGGACCCACAGTGGAAGCAAGCCATTCGAGTGTTCGGTTTGTTCAAAAACATTTTCCCGAGATACTTGTCTTCGCATTCATTCACGAAATCACGTCAAACAGCTTCCCTTCGTCTGCCCAAAATGTGGCCAACGATTCGCCGAAGATAGCGAAAAACAGTCTCATGAGAGGCGCTGTACCAGTAGAAGATATGAATGCCATCTATGCCAGTTAAACTATTTTCAACAATGCAACTTGAAACGCCACATACGATCAAAGCACACGGGCGAAAATTCATTCAAATGTGCTGTTTGCGGAAAAAAGTTTTGCGAGAAATCCGATCTGAAACAACATTTGGCCACACATGCAAAACCACGTCCAATCCGTTGCACCAAATGCTGGAAGTTATTCAAAGAAGAAGACAAGAAGAATGCACACGAAGGACAATGCAATCGTCGTCTTCATCAATGTAACTTGTGCAAAGTCAACGCATCTCGTTCATTATATCTGAAGATCCACATGCGAGCTCAACACACCGAAGAAAGACCATTTCCATGCGGATTCTGTGAAGCTCGCTTTGTTAAAAAAATCCACGCTGATATTCACGCGAAACGCCACCATGGTTTAAAGAACTAGATTCAAGCTAACATCAGGAACAACGGGATTTATTCTGAATAATCTCTCACATAGTTTCAATTCATCTTCTATGAATTAGTAGTTGAAAAATTGCATCTAAATTGATAAAACCAATCTTTCGATTAATGATTAAAATGTAAAATCCGAACACTTTTTTTTCTCTTCAAAATCGACATAAATTCAAGCAATGTTCAAATCAAATCAATAGCAGAATAGAACATTCGACTCTTTCATTTGGAATAATTTAAACGAAATTAGAACAATTGTCGGCCTACAGCAACTAAACATGGACGTTTATTTCTCAGATAGTTTGAACTTTAGACAATTTTTCCCTAATTTCCAAATCGGAACTGATAAAAACTGAAAATTAACAACAAAAGGTGTAACTTATGTCAACAAATGGAAATGAAGTCAATCTGCTTCAGAATAAATGTTGGAAATGTTCTTTAATTCCAATCTGAATTTCAGTTTGTGGGAACGATACAAACATTGAGATCATCTCTACAAATTAATCTCTGATTCATTATTATGTACCTCATTTGCTGCGGATTTCAATGAGATACTGAAACAGCGAATAGAGTGACCACCTGGTCACTTAAGTCAATTGGCAATATTTCCTTTGTCCACATGCAAATGTCGATGAAATTGTGAACTATCCATGTATTAAAAATGAATAAGATAACAACCTCTTAGTGGTGGCAAATAAATGACTTGGTCAGACTTGGTTGAGATAGTTCTTAATCGAATCATTTAAGAGCAGACAATTATTCGATCGTTTGAAATTCAGGAAAATGTGAAATCGTATTCCCTTCTACACTAACTGGTGAATGCAGAGAAAAGCATCATAAAAATACAAGACATAATATCTGTAGCAATTCTAAAGGACGTTCCAATCTTACTGTTCAAACTATAATTACACCTTTCGGATTTGCTTCTGATGTAGTCGTTCATCATACTAGTGAAAATATTCCCAATTATTGGACTAATGAATTGAAGTAGGTAATAATAAAAATTTTACTAAAACAGTATGAATTTCATTCATTTTATTTCAAAATTCAACATTTGATTGCTAACGATTGGAAAGGATTCAAATTCAAAGTCCAAATTGATATGGCCAACTTCATACCGCTGTCAAATGTCACCACTAATTAAACCAAAGCAACACTCGGTTGACAGCACAGACGGTGAATTACGATTCATTTGCACAAAGTAAACGAAGGCAACCACAAACAGACCACCCCTAGAAGCAGAAAAACACAAGAAAGTTGAATTATTTCGCTGTCCATTCGTGGCTAGTGAAAGTAAAGTAAAGGTGAGTTCTAAGCACATTCGCATTTGTATTGTAACTAGTTCAGTTTTGGGGTGTTTCTGAATGTACACAATCTCCATTGCAAACAAATAAAAGTATTGAGAATTTGTCTGACGCAATTTTGTCGTGGATTTTTATGAGAGAATCAATTCTGGATACTGGACGTGTCTTTGCGTTGATCCATTCAGAGAGGCTATTTTTTTTAGATTCAATTGTGAACATTCATCGCTCTTTTCCCCTACGCCAAATTTTATTTTAGTTTTGAAATATTTCTCTACTTGTTAATCCATTTTGGCTTTTGTGTTCTTCTTAAAACTTTGGTTATGTAATTTCATGTTTCACTCTTGGATTGACAAATGTCATTTGTGACACGTGGTTTCGTGTTGCGTTGTCTAGTTAAACGATTTTACTTTTGAGAATAGGGTTAGATGTTTAATTCTTCCAAAAAACAGATGTTTTAACCAAATGCCATAAATTCCAATTAATGCTTTCAATTGAATTGTTCGTTTTTCTCAGAGATTTAGCCACGATGAATCCGTATGCAAGTAGAGGTACTTGCGATGCAAAAGGCAAATGCAAACGCCGTCGTAAATCAGTGCACACAACCGTTGAAATCAAGCAAGAGGTGGTTGTGAAAGAGGAGCCAAAAGAAAACGTAGACATGGTTAATATCGCAAGGTCACAGTTCTCGCCATCATTATCAGCAGAAGCAACTGAAGCAATCAACTCCGAATGCACCACTGATAGTGAGATGGACTTTGAATATGATACCGATCGTGTGAAGGAAGAGGTCAAGATTGAGGACGAGTGTTCGAAGAAAGAATGCGATTCGGCACAAGGTACAAGCTCGAATGATGATGACAATCAAGGCGATAGACCAGCAGATGGAAATGTGAGCAACCCAAGCTCAAACAGCATGATCGAAAAGAAGAAGCGAATGGTGGAAAGAAAGAAACCGACTAATCAAACGAAGGAAACCAACGCCAAGGCCTCGAAGAAAGCAGCCGTAAAGAGGCAAAAGAAGCACATGTGCCATTTGTGCAATTTTACTGCATCGCGAAAATCACATCTCACAATACACATTCGAGTCCATACCGGCGAGAGGCCATTTGTGTGTGAAGTGTGTGCGAAATCATTTAAAGCGAAAAGTAATCTGGATCGCCATGGAAAAACCCACGGTCTTCGATTGGCATTCCGTTGTTCAAAGTGTCGTGAAGGATTTGCTCAAGAAATTGATAAGACCAACCACGAATCCAAGTGTCAATGGCGCCACTACGAGTGCTATGCGTGCAAATATATCACATATGATTTGACAATTATGAAGCGTCACATGCAGACCCACAGTGGAAGCAAGCCATTCGAGTGTTCGGTTTGTTCCAAAGCATTCCCACAGAACAATATTCTTCGCCAACATTTACGAACTCACGTCAAACAGCTTCCGTTTGCCTGCCCAAAATGTGGTCAACGATTCGACGAAGAAAGCGAAAAACAGTCACATGAGAACCGCTGTAATGGTCGGAGATATGACTGCTATCTATGCCAGTTAAACTATTTTCAACAATGCAACTTGAAACGCCACATACGATCAAAGCACACGGGCGAAAAGTCATTCAAATGTGCTGTTTGCGGAAAAAAGTTTTGCGAGAAATCCGATCTGAAACGACATTTGGCCACACATGCAAAACCACGTCCAATCCGTTGCGCCAAATGCTGGAAGTTATTCAAAGAAGAAGACAAGAAGAATGCACACGAAGGACAATGCAACCGTCGTCTATATCAATGTTACTTGTGCAAAGTCAACGCAAATAAATCAGCACAACTAAAGGACCACATGCGAGCTCAACACACCGGCGAAAGACCATTTCTATGCGGATTCTGTGAAGCTCGCTTTGTTCAAAAAATCCACGCTGCTGTTCACGCGAAACGCCACCATGGTTTAAAGCACTAGATTTAAGCGGACAGGAATATACACATTTATTTTTAGTAAAATTTGCCGAACACTGCATTCAGACATGAAAAGAACAAAACAAGCAGTTCACATTTAGAAATCGTCAGTAGTTTGTTTAAATTGAAATTTCTGGAATATTAGGATTTCTAAATATCGACTGTAATTTAAGAAAAAAAATTCTAAACTAATGGGATCATGAAATCCTTAACAACATTCATTTGCGATCGATAAGTCGATCATCAACATTACTGCAACTTTTACTGTGTATTCCAACTAAAATTAAATCAATTCTTTAATCATTTTCTCAATAAAACATAGATGTTTGGATAGTTAAACCCGATTATTATACACATTTGAAGTGGATTCATGATTATTTATTTCAAAGCAATAAAAACGATTGCCGAACTTGAACAGCCGAACAAAAAGTCTATGGATTTTTGGAACCGAAAATACATTTCAAATTCTGAACCTTTTAAAAAGAATTTCCAAATATTGAAGCTAATGACATGTAGCATTGTCAAATTGATTGAAATAAAGTTGATCAACCTCGAATAAAATATAAAAAAAAGTTTTTTTTTTCTCTCAATTTTCAAGAGTACAACCAAATCTGCATTGATTTTATTCTATTCAAGTGTACTCCTAATATCAGCCGATAACAGTCCATAACAGTAGAAGTCAGATATCGATAAACCCCTTGTCTTGATTAGCTTGTTTGTTTTTGTGAAAGATACTTGGAATCAATCGCATGCGAATTTTGTTTTTATCTTATCAATTCGTGGTGTTCATTAGATTAGTGCCAAAATAATGCAAGGTAATCAATCGATAATTTTAAATCTAATAAGCAGAACAAAATCATTCAAGGAATACAAAACATACTTGAAATGTGAGTGCTTTTGAAAAGAGTGACTAGTATTCAAAAGTTTCAACTCAAAGGGTTCAACACACGAAAATATCACAATCGGTTCATATTTCTCATCAATTGATCTAGTTTTTCCTTTGTAAAAAGAAAAATCGAACGATTCTCAGTAGCAAAGATGCCGTCCATAAACTTCAAACGATTTATAAATGAGCCAGACGATGAATCCCGAGAAAATGTTGGCGTGAGTGTGATTGAAGTTCCAGAGCATACAATGGAACCACCGACATCGCTTTCTATGGACACAGAAACTGAATCAGCAGGAGAGTTTCACAAATACACCGATTGTTTTAAGTCAACCGCACTTGCAATATATGTCAAACTGTTTATTGTTTTGGTGGTTGTTGTGCATTTGGCTTTACACGCTCTTGGTCTGAGTTTCTGGTACACTCATGGTCATAATGGCAGTCTTTCCCAAGATAAATAAGTTTCATGTAAGAAAAGTGTTCCATAGTGATAATAAGAAATAAGAGGTGAAATAAAATAAATTCTTTAGTTCAATGTGAAAAAAACGTGGTGTGCACTTTATGGAAAAGCGGGATGGAGGCATATTCTCTCGAAAATATACTGAAATTGTTTTTCTTACGGTCAATTTTTGTTCACCGGGATAAATTTTACACCGAGGTGTAAATATAAATTTACCCCTCGCAAGATAAAATTTACCCCTCGGTGTATAATTTATCCCTTGATGTGATTTTTATGCAAAAACTATACCCAAAAGTCATGGTATCAATTCTAAGAGCATGGAAACGTTACATAAAGTAAATATTATTCATTATACTAAATATTCATTGAATATTTTCTGTTTGACGCCTAAAATTGCTCGAACTAAAAACTTAGTGACATTTTTTCAAAATGGTGTATTTATATTTGTTTCGCTGAAAAATAAAAGCAATTAACAGTGGAACCCAAAAGAAGGCATTTTTGAAACATAAAATGTGATTTTCCGCATAAAATATTGCGAGTTGAAAACATCCAATGAAACAGGACCGTTTTTCGACCTTTTAGACCCTTCAGACAGGGTTGAGATAGTTTTAGATCGATTCCTCGTTTAAAATTAAGTGGAAATAGACTCATAAAGGCCCAATGTAGGTAGGTTTCCTATGTCATAAATGTGATTTTGTATGCAAATTGCAACCATTCGATTGCTCAATGAAGAAATGTTGTTTTAAGTCAATTTTATGGGTAATCCCAAGTTCAAATGGTCATATTTTCATGTATTTTGACGAGAAAATAGCAGTTTTTTCAGACAAAAATATCGTAGGAGGCCATTTTTGACCATTTTACCCACAAAAACTGGAAAAAGTAAGATATAGTTCATCTGCCGAGGCCAAAATAACGAATTTAGTCATGGTAATACACGAAAAAGCTTCGGAAATTTCGTAACGTTTACCGAAGTGTCACTTGTTTGACTATGACAATACATCAATAAACGGTCTTACCGTAGTAAGACGAACTTTTTCGCAATGGGATCCAAATACTCTCTATATTCAGTGATCTGTTTCACAATCAAT